TTTGATATTTATTTTATATATTTAAATGCCATTTAACAAAGAAAAATCAACCAAAAAAATGAATTCACGTGTCACCTCTGACACGCGTGTCATAGGTTCACCATCACTGTACTAGAGGCCCAATGCATGAATTCATGCACAGGGGTCTGGCTGGCCTGGCCCCAAACAGGGTGGATCGGAGGCAGGCCTGTCAGGAGGAGACAGCGGAAGGTTGGCTGGCGGGGCCTACCCCAATAGGGACCCAATCAGGGCTGGCTGGCTAGGGGAGGGGCCAAGGGTGATTTGCCAGCGGGCCCTGCCCCCGATTGGGAGCGGGGCCAGCATGGGGAGGGTTAAAGCCATTACTTTTTAGCCACTATGATTCGGCCTCCTGCGAGCTGATAGGGGTCACTACAAAGAAGAAAGCCTTATTTTATCTCAGTCCTCTAAGGGTTGGTAGGGGGCCAATCCAATGACTTGTATTCCGGGCCACTAAATTAGCAAACAGCACATGCAAGTCCCTGGGAACATCATCAAAATGTCCCCAGGCAGTTCATTTTATAGTGTGATGCTACCTTTAAAAAAGTACCTGTGGCAATTGTAGAAATAGCATTTTGATATTTCAGAGCAGAAGGATCCCAAACTTAATTTAAACAATATAGAAAAATGCAATAAACCCCATGCATGCATGCCTGGCTTTATTCACATGCTTTCTTCTAAGTAAAATATCTCCAAAATGGAGATGAAGTTTCCCCCATAAATTACAAGTGCAAGTTGTTCCTGGAATCCCCTGAGGGTTTGCTAGGTAGTCGGTACCTCCACAGATTAAGCAGATGGCACTGAGAAGGCCTGTTTCTGTGTCATCCATTTCCAAAGGCAGGAGCTGGTTGGCAAAGGTGAACACAAGGTCAGTCAGAGGACCAAATCCAGCATTGTGCATCTGAGTTCGATTTAGGGTAAGGCCATCGGAAAAAGTCATGGTGTCTTGTTCTGGGGTATACCTGGTGCAAATTCTAAGAATCTGGAAGAAAAAAAAACACCCAGATTGGATGGATCATCAATGCCAGCCTGGCCTCACAGCATCAGTCAGCTCTAGGCAGGAGGTAGCATGAGGATTTCCAAGGTGCTCCCACATCCCAGGAGGCGCTCGGCCCCCCTCTCTATTGTTGAGTGTCTCCTCAAGCTCTTTCATTAAAAGAGTATAGAAGTCACAACACGGGCTAAAGTCATTTTAGAGAATAACAACTAGGACACAAGAAATCTCTGTCTAAAAGTCATCTATTTGAGTCAAATAAACATTTACCAAGGACCTACTTATGTCCCAGGCACTATGCCAGGTGCTAGGGATAAAAAAAATGAATGAGATTCTTTTTTTTTTTTTTTTAATGAGCTGGATTACTAAGAATAAGGACAGTTGTTAGACCCTGTGGGGTTATTGTTAGTAAAAATTTTCAAGGAATTAGAAACCTAAAAGTCTTGGGAAATAATTTTATTTTAATCTTAGGCCCATTAAAATACAGAGAAGGCTGAGAATAAATACATTAATCAACAAAGTAACCAAGCCTAGATTTAGGTGAATTAATATTTATTCAGAATAACTTTAATGATATTTGATGTTATTGAACTTCAAGAAATTCCATCTATAGTAGGAGTCCTTGCAACAGTCATGGACAATGATGTAGTTGGTGATGGGTTGCTGGGCATTGCGTAAAGTGTTATTGAAAACTAACACTTAGTAGGTTTTATTTGAAGTTTAAGAAGAAAAATGGGCAATCAGAAACAGGGGTAATATATGAGCTTATAGTTATTTTACACATAGGACTTCACGTCCCAAAATATCAACTTGCTATGAAATTCTGTCATCTATTCTTGCTTTTGTCAAAACAAACAAACATCAACCCATTCCACCCCATCACCGCAAGCCAGAGCAGTATGAACAATCATCATTTAATGACAACAACAAGTTTTCATTCATGCCCTAGCCAGTGCAGCTCAGTTGGTTGAGATCATCCCATGCACCAAAAGGTTGCCAGTTTGATTCCCGATCAGGACACATACCTAGGTTACAGGTTCTGTCCCTGATTGGGGTGCATACAGGAGGCAACCACTTCATGTTTCTCTCTCATATCGATGTCTCTCTCTCTCTCTCAAATTAATAAAAACATATTTTAAAAAGTTGTCATTCATTCAGCAAATATTTGAGTCTCTACTGTGTTGGCACTGGAGAGCAAAAAAGAGCCAGACACCTGCCCTGCTGGAGGCAAGGACCAAAAAGTGGTTAGCATGTAGATGCGAGGAGTCTGTGAGAAGGCTGATGGACTCTGATATTCAGCAGGGCTGAAAATCTGCATATTATTACCTGTTGCTGGCCGAATAATCCTTTCATTGTTTACCAATCTTTACCATTGAAATGTCTGTTTGCTTTGCTAAAGGGTAAATGTGTATTCCAGTAAATAAAAAGCTGATGGGTCTGGAGATTCAGCGAGCTTCGCCACTAGATTGAAGCCTCCGCCTGGCTTTCCCCCATGCCTTCTAAATTTATATTTCTTGTCTAGTATATCCATTTATGCGTGGCCCCTTCTCCAGATCCTGAATCCTTGCTGCAAAAGGTTGCGGCACTGTCCTTCCCTGTCTAATGGAAAATACAGATTAGCAACCAGTGTTGAGAATGAATATGGGGTACTATGGGGCCACTGAAGCCTGAGGGACTCTAGGGGAGAGTTTTACTGTCTGAAGCAGAAGTGAAGTCCTCTTTAGGAACAGAGCTTAGTAAGCAAAGGCAGGTGGTATGCGAGAGAAGCGATTACTTCTTTATTTATTGTCTAAAGTTTTACATATGTCTCCTTTTTCCCCGCTTGACCCTCCCCGCTCAGCCATTCCCTTGGCAAGCCCCCACCACCCCAGTGTCTGTGTCCATTGGTTAGAGGAGCGATTACTTCTGTGTGACTGTGGCACAAATGGAAAGGGAGAGCCAAGAGGTACAGTTGAACAGGTGGTCCCATATATAAAGTTTTGAATTAATAAATGGTAGTTATGACTTTTTTCCTGTTTTAAAAAATACCTAAACTCCTTAATTGCATTCAAAATGTATTCTGCTGAGGTAAAATATAATTTCATTCCTAGTTCTGTTTGGCTGCCTATTTATTTAAATAATTTTTCTCCTTGGAAAGCAGCAAATGACAGAAACATAAATTTTGTGCAAGTGTCAATGAGAGTCTGATCACAGATCATGTAGCAATCACCTGCCTTTATGGGCTGACATATAGTGGGGGAAAGGCTGAACACCTGAGATAAATCAAGGTATTCTCTGCTTTGAAATCTAGGGGTGCTGAGTGTCTGGACACAGTTTGGGAGGCAGGGAAGTACCTGGAGAAATCTCTCGCTGTGGTTGAGCGGAGTGTTTGCTGCCTCCCTCTTTTTCTGGGGGACTCTCAGAGACTACTGTGTGCCTCAGACTGTGCTGTAACCTCAGGTGTCAGAGGGGTCAGCAGCGAACTGAGTGTGGACTCTCAGTGCCGGGGTCTGGAATCAAAGGAGGTCTGTCCCCCTCCTGGCATATCCATATGTAAGCACCATATGCACCAAGAGACAGCACTTTAAGGAGGCAGCTCACTGACAACTCAATTCCACCCTGAAAATGCCCGAGGCTTTAGACTTCCCTGCACTGACCTAGGGCATCAGTGTGTCTTTTCTCTATCTATCCCGACAAACTCCCCACTCTGAGAGCTTTCTTTACACCAATTAAGCAAAGCATGATTTATTAGCAACTGTAAGTCACCTCCAGGTCCTTTAAAGGACTTTCATTCTTCTTTGTCCTGGATATTTTTGATGACAGGTAAAAATATCTATCCTCAGAGCTACACGAGATAAAAATGTTGGCCCTGTAGGGAATGAACTCTCAATTTAGCTAATGCTTCCTTTTGAAGAGTATATCTTAAATGGAAATACAGTAGTATATGACATTAAAATCTGACAAATTGACTGTGAAATAGTCTATTTTCTCTGCTCTGATACTTTTTATGCAGAGTAAAAAAAAGTGGGGGGGAACAAGGCAAACTTAGTAAATAGAGCAGAAGAACAAAGAAGCAGAAAACAGAAGCATACTTATTCTGAGACTGCAGTCATGTCCTAAGAATAAAGTGGTTCCTGTTAGTTGGCAAGAAGGGGAAAATGCTGCATATTATTTCTCCTGCACAATAGGAAAGTAAGGAAAGTGTATCTTGGCCAAACAGGTCAAGAGACTGACTCCTACCAGATCTGGAGGAATCCTTTTCTCTTTCCATTTTTCTTTACTAACCTTTTGATTACTGCTATTGAACACTCCTTAACACTACAATAATTGCTTGTGTTTATCAGTTTATCACCACAACTATAAGATGGGCACTATTATTAGCCTCATTTTACAATGAAGGAACTGAAGCTCAGAGAGGCCAAGGAACTTGCTTGGCATCACATAGCCAGTAAGTTGCAAAGCCTCAAGTTGAATCCTTGTCAATCTCCAAAACTTGTCTTCTGAGCTTTCATAGGCTAATATGCAAAGTGTCCCCTTGGGAGTTCGACTGGGAGACCTGGAGTTCCATCGCTCTCTATGACATGTGCTGACCAGTAGGGGGCTGTGTGGAATAGAGAAAGGCCCTGGCTGGCAGCCAGAAGGCCCCGATCGGCCCTGATCGTCAGTCAGGCCTAGGGACCCTACCCATGCACAAATTTTGTGCACAGGACCTCTAGTATACTATATTTTCTTTAGTGATAATACTGAGTTTATTAAGAAGTGAGAAACCACTTCTATGTAAAGTATCCCCAAGTACCTCTTTCAATCCTAAATGATATAACAAGACTAAGCTATTTAACAAGACCTGGGAATGGAGGGATTAGCAGGGCAGGGTAGCTAAAGCTAGCACCATTTCAAAGCACATTGTTTCAAGGGTGTTCCCCTTTGCTATCTCATCAGTGAATGACAACACAGAATCAAAGACAAACATAATCTGCTCACTCCTGTCCCCTCATTTGAGCCAACTTACTCCATAGAGTCGATGATTTTTTTTGGCTCCACAGGACATGGATATATGACTTCATCAATGTGCTTCAGGTTACAGTTGGAAAAGGCAGTAGAGATATGTATGAAGGCTTCGAGCTTTGGCATCTGACTGGCCATGAGCAGGAGCTTCTGGGTGGCAGTAACGTTGAGCTGCACGGCATGTCTAGAGAGAATTAAGAAGAAGGAAACACAGCTGGCCTGTATCATGATTCTTGGTGAAAAGAGGGTCAAGTATACCTACCATCCCTACTCTTACTTAGCACTGCTCTGAAGTTCCAGCCTTGTAATTAGGAAAAAAAATTCACAGATATAAATATTAACAAACCCAATGTCAGATTACATCATTGTATATCTGGAAAGCAAACAGAAGCAGCTAAAAAATGTTGGATGGACAATAAGATGACCCAGTAAGGGCAGAAACAACAATTAGAGAATACAATGGAAGAAAGGCACAGATTCAAAATCCAATATTTAGATATATATCACATCCTATATAATAAAGAGGTAATATGCAAATTAACCCTCACATCTTCACAAGATGGCTGCCTATGACCAGGCCAGCAGGGGGGTTTAGTGAGGAATGACCAAACAACTGAACAGCAGGCTGCATGGGGCGACCAGGCCGGCAGGGGGGTTAGTGAGGGATGACCAAACAACTGAACAA